TTGCACGTTGCTTTTAACTAGTATATATGATAAGTATGTGACTATAAAATTGATAAAAATTCTTGCTCAATAATTATTTGTTAAAAATGCACTTGAAAAAAATTGAAAAATAAATTACACCAAGCTCAACTTAAAAAGTTACTAGAAATATATGTGAATGTCTATAAGCCCCTATTTGAGCCCCATTTTTGGCTCAAAATGTTTTTTAAAATAGTATTTTGTTGGAAAATGTGTTGTTAAAAAATAAGAAAAATATTTTGGTTAGTGTGTAAAATTATTTTATAAGATAATGTACGATTGAAAATGAGTTTTAAAAAAATGGGAACCAAACATAAATTAATTAATTTTAATCATATATTTTATGGAATCCACAACTTTTTAACTACATATTTTATCAACGTTTATTCAATTGTATTAAAAATTTGATTTTTAGCAAAATCAAACATGGGCTAAACAAATAGCACACATTTCATAATCAGGAAATTTGTAATCACGGTCCTCAAACATTAACGCTTGTAACACTTGGATCCCATTCAATTTTTCTTGGATGGTTATTTGCAACTCATTGTGCCACGTTATATTTTAATTTGATTAGAACTGTAATTGCAAATATATTTATCGCATTATTTAAAAAAAAAAAATTCTCTCTTCTTTTCAACTACTCATTTTTCAATAAAATAATATTAAACGTAAATTCAAAAAAATTTCTTATTTTTTAACCACATATTTGTCATCAATCTACTATTCCAAAATGCATTATCAACTAAATAATGGGGCTCAAACATGATTTTTGATTCAAGAGAAAACCACTTTGATAAAGTGTTTTGATTCAAAACAAACAATGAATATGATATGGAATGGATCTGGCTTTCCAAGAGATCTTATTTATAGAAGATGAGGAGTTGTGGCCGGAGAGACACACTTCAAACTTAGCATGTCTTCATGAAGGGACATAGCCCTTCAGGGCGTTCGCCAACCACCCAATTTGGCTTTCGAGCACTCAAAGCAGAGAGACCATTGCTCACTGCGTGCTAAGCTATGGCTTAAGTGGCGGTATTATATACAGAATTCCTATTTTTTTCTAACTTTGGACAGCAATTCATTAGGAATTTGTTTTAACATTTCTTATTGCCTCGTTGGCTTTGGTCTAGGGTTTGCCCTAGCAATACGGTGCTATTTCTTTTCCTTTCTTCAATTTGCTTTTTAAGAAACATACTAGGTTGACAAGGATGCCTTTGCAATTAGTTAGTGATCACGTGCATGACATGCGACACTTTACAAGAAATCTTGAAAGGGTTATGACCAACTGGACCGTCGGCACCAAAATCGACATTTCGAGAAGATGAATGGCCAAAAAAAAAAAATTTGAATAAGGAACCAAGAGCTAATGTCTGGGGACCGTAGATGCAAATTTCCCTTCATAAAAACATCTCATATTACCACGTGGTCATGAAATTAAATTCATGTTTGACTCTCGTTAAATTTTAATTCATTTTTCTCTCTTTATTTATCACCACAGACCATACATTCCGTCAATAAAATAATGCGAAATACTATTCATCCCCAATGGCGATGCATCATCAGTCTACGTGGCGTTAATGTAGTATTAAATGATAGGTAAAATTAAATAAGTCATTTAATTTCACTTATCATTTACATCTACATAGATTGGGAATGCATCCCCACTGTGGATGAATAACATTTTTCTAAAATAATATTATGCATAAATGTAAAAATTCTATTTACATTTTAATCAAACATTTTTCGAAAAATACTATTTTAAAATCAAATATTTTCTTCAAATAATAGAGTTTAATCAAGTCATAAAATATCGGCCCCAATGTCGACTAACTACCTGGGGACCCACATAATAAAAAGAAACGTGAAGAAACCACACGTGGAACGACACCTGTCTCTTCTCTCTCTCTAGTCTATACATATATATATATATATATGTCTCTTTTTCTCTCACATACATTGCACAAACTTCAAATGGCGTCGGACCAGTCTCTCACTGCTCCTCTCTTATCCACACCTACCCCTCGCCACGTAGTTCTCGACATTTCCAACTCCCACGAATACCAGTCTAACCATCAGCTTAACCCGTTCGCTTTTCTCGGGGCGGATCACGAGTTTGAGGTGCCCGAATCCAGCACCATCGACCCGTTTAGGAACCACACGCCGAGGATAGAGGGTCTCTACGAGTGGATAAAGATTTTCGTTTGTCTGCCCATTGCTTTGGCCCGGCTACTGCTCTTTGGACTTTGCTTAATGGTGGGATACGTGGCCACGGTTTTTGCGCTCCATGGATGGACAGATAGGCAGAATCCCATGCCCAAATGGCGCTGCCGGGTCCTGTGGGTCACCCGTTATTGCTCCCGTTTCATACTCTTCTCGTTCGGGTAACTCGAGTTTTGGAAGTAGTATAATAGTATGTTAACCATGGAAAATCTATTTGTAGTGCATATTTTTTTTTGAATTCTAAATTGGATGTTCCGACTTCTGTTTGAGTGAAAAGAGCTGTGAGTGATATTTCGGTTTAATTTACCAGTTTGAATAGTAGAACGAGTAATTTGTCTAAGCTTGCACAGGCTATGTCAAAAAAAAAAAAAAAATCAATGGGTGAATGTTGGAAATAAAAAAGACTGTTCTGCGGTAAGGTGAACAATGTTTTGGTGTAAATAGTAAATACACGTTCTTCATGAAAAGTTAGGTTTAGTGCTTCTTTTGGAATTCAAAACTGAATGTTCTGTTTGACCAAAAGAGCAGTGCGTGATATTTTGGTTTAATTTACTTAATTTGGACATAAAATGAGGAATTTATCTAAGAAGAACAATAGCTAGAGAAAATGAAAGAAAGACGTCGTTTTGAAGGTTTCTTTTAACTAAGCAATTCATAAGTTTAAAGATAAAGTTTTCGTTTTCAATTATCAGCATTGGAATAAACCTAAAGACAAAAAGTAAAAAAAAAGGGGAAAAACATAAGTGCGTACTAGTGTTGCGTACTAGTGGACTGGGGAGGTTTTGGGAGGTGAGGGTAATGAGAAATGGATTTCTGGAGTTCGGCTTATGGATTTCTATAGAGTAGGAGAAGGATTGGAAAGAGAAAAGAATGAAACATCTACGCATGACCTAGCTCACATCATATCAACCCTGTTGAGTTTGAAGAACGAGATGGTTTTTATCCTATTGCACATTGGTTGTAGAGCTGTAATTTCTTACTTCTTTTAGTTAGAGACTTGTAAAGGTTGAGTTGAGGAATATGATTTGTTGGCTGGGAGGAAATCTCAATCCCGTCTTATGCTCCCTTCCAAAAAGAAAGTTACAGCTCAAAGGAAAATGTGCAGATGGATGTGTTCTAACCATTCTATGAGCCAGTTTTCTGCCCAAAATTTGCTCGACCAACACTAGGTATCTGTGGACGATTTTCATTGTGTGAAGACGCTATAGGGGGACCCCCTCTTCAATCCAACTTTCACATTTATCAACCAATTAAACAAAAACAAAGATTAATTAATGAATTCCTATTTCTGGGTTCACCACTTCAGCATGGCACTAGTCAGATAAGTATGTTGGACTATTTAGCCAAAAATCTTTACAGTCTAGCTTCTCTGAAATGCAAAACGAGCTTTTGAGCGGGACTCTCCACTTTGGCAAGCAGGTGTAAGTAGGCAGGACTTGGTGGCTGTATTTAAGTAAGGGGTCTTCCTGTAAGTAGGCAGGAAGACTGAATTATACAGATTTGTTTTAGCTGCGATGGATTGTTTGGAATGAATGGAATATGCTCCACTTGGTTTGACTGGTGCGATTGTGTAGGCAAAAGATGAAAAGTTTTGTTTTTGTAGTTCCTGAATTCTATAGTCTATTTCTAACTTCGAATTATATACCAGTTCTAAGTTTTTAATCTTGGGAGTGTGAGAATATAAGTGATTTGGTTAACTGTAATTGAAGGAAACCCCATTTTGCCATGAAAGTGGACATTCATTTGGGATGTCCAGGAAAGGACATGAATCATTCGTGTGGGGTAAAGGGGTTATGAAAGTTTATAAAGTTTCTTTGCTTGATGTTTCTTTTCCTGCAAACAGTCTGATTTGAGTAAGATGAAAAGTTTTATTTTTCTAGTTCCTGAATTCTATAGTCTATTTCTGACTTCGAATTATATACCAGTTCTAAGTTTTTAATTTTGGGAGTGTGAGAATATAAGTGATTTGGTTAACTGTAATGAAAGGAAGTCCCATTTTGCCATGAAAGTGGACAGTCATTTGGGATGTCCAGGAAAGGACATGAAAACATTCGTGTGGGGTAAAGGGGTTATGAAAGTTTATAAATTTTCTTTGGTTGATGTTTCTTTTCCTGCGAACAGTCTGATTTGAGTAAGAATCTTATTCCTGTTTTCCTTTTGCATTTTGATGCTGCAGCTACCATTGGATAAAACGAAGAGGAAAACCTGCTCCAAGGGAGATCGCTCCTATAGTTGTATCTAATCATGTATCGTATGTTGAACCTATTTTCTTTTTCTATGAATTGTTTCCAACCATTGTTGCGTCTGAGGCACATGATTCTATGCCTTTTGTTGGAACCATCATCAGAGCAATGCAGGTGAAACTCAAGTTCATGATCCCTTTACTTGTTTTTTCTTTACTCCTTTTTTTTTTGGGGATTGGGAAACATTCTCTCTCTCTCTCTCTCTCTCTTTTTTACCAAGTTACCTATTTCCAATCCCAACTTTTCAATTTTATTCTCCTTTTTTAAAACTAAGTTACCTATTTGCAATCCCAACTTCTAATGCATTCTTGAAATTAACATGTCAATTATGATGTCTCTTATTTGCTTTGTAGGTGATATATGTTGATAGATTCTCACAATCATCCAGGAAGCATGCCGTTAATGAAATAAAGGTATCAAATATCTGTCTGTGTATATACCATTTTCCTTTCCTTTTGTACAACATAAATGAGAATGATTCTCTAGATGAGAACTTAATCTATGATGCATATGTTGACTTTTATTTGCTCCTTGATGCTTTCTTCTCATCTAAGTTCCTGTCATCTCAGTAATTAGTCATTACGAATGCCACTTGTTCGTGAAAGTGGGAACGTTACTGCAATTGATACTTAGCTTACATCTATCCATGTGCTTGTGAGACACATTTCTGCAATGTGTATGGTACAATGCTTGATCATTGTATTGTTTTTTAGAACTGAAATCGTAAAAGAAAATTAACGAATGCATGTCTTGTCTTGTTTTGCGAAATTTGTAATGCTTCCAGGCCGGAAATGAATTTCAAGCTTTAAAATGTTTATCAATGTATTAGCTAATTGATACAGAAATATGCTTTCAAGGATTTAAATACAGAGAAAGGCTTCTTCCGATCAGTTTCCTCAAGTGCTTTTATTTCCCGAGGGAACGACAACCAATGGAAGAGTACTTATTTCCTTCCAACTTGGTGCATTCATCCCTGGTTATCCTATCCAGCCAGTCATTGTGCGTTATCCCCATGTACACTTTGACCAATCCTGGTATTGTCCTCCTTTTGCTTTTGCCAACTATGCTTTCTGAATGTGCCTTACTAGTTTCCAAGAAGCTTTACTTCATACATTGCTGCATTTGCTTAGGGGTAATATTTCTCTGGCGAAGTTGATGTTCAGAATGTTCACCCAATTCCACAATTTCATGGAGGTATGGTACAACTGTCTCTGGGTGGGTGTTTGTATGCTTGTATTCACCCCTGATCAATAATTCAATTTGTTTCATTTAATAATTCTCAAAACACGAAGGTTTTAACATGCCCCTAGTCTTCTATGGGCCCAAGAATAGTCCAAAAACCCATTATTACTTCCCTTTCAAGTTATGTATAAATTGTACATGTCTCATGGATGGGGTTTCTTATGAAAAACATAAACTATAGATCATATATAGATATCAATTTCAGCGTAGTTGAATTCTCTCCCTTTTCATCAAATTCTATTTTTCATCTACTGATTTACTTCACCCCTTCATACAGTCAGTCTCTAGATAAGCGTTTGAGTTTGAAACGCGTTTGTATATTTTGGTAATCTTTCCTAACAAGTATGATTACATTGAAATATTGGCCCGATATTAAAATGGAAAAATGAATTTTATACTTAATCTGTGTTATTTATTTGAGGATATAATAATGATAAGACCGTCCTTAACACGCTGCACCCAAACATAATCGATTCCAGTTTTCTTGATTGAGGATAGAATGCTTAATTCCTTGCAATTCTTGAGGCACTCATTCGCTAATGCATTTCTAAGGCATCCTGATGAATTTAGTACTTATACATTTATGTTCATCTGAAGAAATTGCATTAATCTTTTCTGAAACTACACAGGTTGAATATCTCCCTCTCGTGCGACCACATGAAAATCGAAAGGAGAATGCAGTCCATTTTGCTCAGAGGGTGAGTCAAGTGTGACCTTGTATATCTTAGTATCTTAAGATCATAAATGCTACGGACTTGGTATGTTACTTGTTGAGTGAGATGTACTGAACTTTCCTGTTCGGGAACTAGAATGACAACTGAAACAAATCTTTGTTTCTCAAATTTGCATGCAATCACTCTCTTCCGTTCATGCTCATGGACTTCAAAAATTTGATTCCATGTTTTATAAAAAATCACTCCACTAAATTCACCCTATATGCATGTCTTCTAAGGTTCACTGGACTGACAATTTGTAGATCCATCTGCCTATAGTGAATAGCTTGGCTTCTCCACTTGCATGTGTTGGCATTTCATTAGGTTAGTTATAACTGGCTCGAGTGGAACTCTTCCTATTCTATTTGCTCATTCATATTCTTACACAATACGTTTAACTTTCCATCCTGATGCCCTTTTCTCTATATTTAGGACTCTGCTAAATTCTAATATTATTGCCCTTTAGAAATAAATGTTTTTCTATGGACTTGATATTATCCTTTATATATGCTCTCTACTCATGATTGTGGATATATATAAAATTTGGCATATGGATTCATATTTCATATCTACTATTGAATGCCACCTAAACCTATTTATTCATCATCTCTTATGCCATGCACATGATTTAATGCAGACTAGTCGTGTTATTGCAAGTAGTCTCAATGTTGTACAAACATCACATTCGTATGGAGATTTGATGCTTCTTACAAAAGCATTAGAGTTCAAGCAGGTTTGTATTTGTTGCTTTTGTTACCAGCAAATGTAATGAACTACTGAGTTTTAAACAATAATATATTCTTCTGTTGAAGTTCTTAAATGGAAATAGCATTGTGGAAGTATCATATTACAATGATTTGTTTCTTTGTCTATTATAGCATGAGTATAATATTGTAGGATAAAATAGCAACATTATGTATATTATTCCCATATCTGCTCATGGATCTTGTATTTTAGTCATATATGAGACACTGGTACGCTTCTAACCCTTGTGGAATGTAGAAATCTTGATCTTTTTCTTCTTTTGCTGGTTGCTGTATACACCTTCAAAATCAGAAGACATTTAATCCCAGTTTGTTTTTGATAAAAATCAGATTTTTAGTAGATTTTGATAAAAGTTGATGAAATGTGTGGTTGAAAAGTTGATAGAAGTTGTGGTCTCATAAAATGTGTTGTTTAAATTAATTGTTGACTTTGACTTAGATTTTTATCAACTATTTTAGCTAAACCGCACGGGGACTTAGAATATATAATAGGGAAAGTTAATAAAAACGCGTGTATATGGTGTAATTACTCTTTGCATGCCGTGTTTCTTGAAGTTACAATTGCACACCAATGAAAATGCATAAGAAGAACATTGTAAATAAGTGGAAATTGCTAAATGAACAGCATTACTCATAGAATTATGTTGTGTATGTATCCTTGTCCAGATGATTAACAGTTCTCTGTACTCTATCCTTAGCTGAAGAGTTAGTTGATTTATTTGCAATGAAATTCAGATCTGGAGTTCTTGCCTTATTTCTGGAATTTGAAGTTCTTCCTTCTAGGATCTTAAGGGTTCATTTGACATGGCTTTTGAGAAGTTAAATGAGCTTTTGAGATCCAAAGCTGCTTTTGGACTTGTTTGTTTAGTTTTATAAAAGTGTTTCTTCTAGTTAGAAGTGCTTTTTAGAGGAAGCTTGCCCAATATAGCTTCCTCTAGAAGCTCTTTCGGAAGAGAAACCTCTTTTAGAAATTAGTTTCCAAACATTAATTAAGGTAGTTTTCTCATGAAACTCTTCTACAAAAAGTAGAAGCTCTGTCGAATAGGCCTGAGTTATATTAGAATATTTGTTCTCATGCAATATTTAAATTTTGTTTTGTCAGGAAAAACCCTCACAATATATGGTTGAAATGGCCTGGGCGGAATCGGTAAGTTAGAAATGCTTCTTGATTTTTGCGGTTGTATATTGTAGACTCTAGAATTAGGTTGAAGCTGTTAGCATTGATTGCCATGCTATTCAAATTTAAATTTTGTGAATGCGATTTTGAGAACTACGCAAGTTACTGTTTCCTTTCCTGTCAATTAAAGCTACTGAGACAAGAAAGGAACTATCCAGAAGCTCTTGTTGCAATTGCTCCAAGTTCTAATTGGTACAAAAATGGAAATTAATTATCAATATTTCATCCGAAAAGAAATTTTTTATAAAGATTTTTGAGCTGGATTTTAAGTGTAAAACAAACTTTTTATATTGTCTCATTTGTTAAATGTTTTAAACTTTGCTGCGTAAATTGTTGCATATTGCTCAAACTTGATTTTTATTTTTTGAATCATAAGAATTTTCTCTTTACCTCTTTTTGTCACGGGGCAAGTTTTGGGCCAAAAATTGATCAAACATCTTCACATCCTGCCCTTCTAAAAACTACTTGTTACTGTCCCATGTTATATTCTTAATCACTTAAACTCCGTTTGGCAAAATTTATAAACCATCTGAAATGGTTGAACTTCATCTTCAACGACACATTCCCATGGAACCACAAGTACTATCGCCACTCATTTCTATCTATTTATAGATTAAATCATTTATAATTTCTTCCCAAGCGGAGGCTTAATTGGCCATGGGGGTAAAATTACTCTAGTTATGTCTTGTTTTCAGTCACTTCATTTACGGAATTTGGAAGCTGTTGACTTCTTAGATGTATTTCTGTCAATGAATCCGGACTCCAGGTATGTTGGAATACTTTCATTACTATGGTGGATTTCTGATTGAAACAGCTCATACTTACATAATGTTTGGAGCCCCATTTTTGGGGAAATGAGTTTTGTAATAATGATTTTTTTTTTTTTGGAGAATGTGTGATTAAAAAGTAGGATTTTTTTTTGGGTTTACGTGTAAATTATTTTGTTGGAAGAATGTGTGGTTGAAAATGAGTTTGAGAAAAAAATGAATTTTGGAGAATGGGGCTCAAACGGTGGTTTAATCTTGATTGTTTGCATAATAGTGTCACTTGGCTCGTTCTTTACATCTCTTCCACGCCCACCCCCACCCCCCCGGTTACCTGGATGCACGGTCTTTGATATATGATTGTCATTTAATATGTGGCACATAGGTCATGGGTATGATATATATTTAGATATTGTTGGTTTTCAGCCTTCTTTTCTTACAATTGGCTGGAAATTTCTAAAATGCAGAAAATTTCAGCTTTATTTTAGGGAAAGTTTATTAACTTGCTCCTGGTCATTGTTGTTAAGCCGGCATGGCTATCCTTTCTATATCTCTGTTATATGTTTGTACTGTAGTTCACAACTCAGTCTATATCACATTCTCTTTTTCCTTTTAATATCTTAAATTCCTGTTTAGTGGGGACGGGGCTGCTGCATCATGGTTTTCTCATTTCTTTCAGACTTCACATTGCACATGAATTGCTATATATGTATGTAATAGAACTTGGGCTCAGAATTATCACTTTATAGTTGCTGTTTTTAGGACCACAAATTTCTTATGCAATATTCACTGGTTAATAACTTACTATGCTCGATAATTTACTGACAAGACTAATACTCATTTCTTCTTGAACTTCCGGTTGTTTTCCATCAATGTTTTGAATTTTATGGTCTATTGTGCAATGATGAAAATGCGCTTCTGACTGGATTCCATTCTCTTCACAGTGGACATGTTGACTTCCATGACTTCCTCAGGGTTTTAAGTCTCAAGCCATGTGGTCTTTCTGAAAAGGTTAGCCACTGATGGTTTTTCATTTCCTGTGACCTTGCACATAATTCTATTCCTTATTGTACTGGCACATTGGTTTTGTATACAATTTTATAATGCTTCATCAATGAGAGACAAGTTGTAGAGTAAAGGCAAAAAAATGTGAAGAGCTGTGGACATGGTAATGTGATCATGTCCAGGAAAGGCGACTTAGTGCTGATTTTCACATTATGTAACAGTAAATATTATCACTAGGTCTGATGCATGGAAAGTTGAGCTTAGCATGTTTTGTACCTTCATGCTTTCATTCTTTCTATATTCATTTGAAGATTTTATGCATTTTCTTCCTGCAACAATATTTTACATTTCTTGCAGTTCTACCTTATTTTTCCTTCGAAAGAATTATAGGTGCTCTTTGGTGAGAACGATTATTGATTTTATCTAAATGGACTTCAGTACAGAGGTTATTATTAAATTTAACCATTATTACTGAAAAGGAAATAAGATATTCTTCAATTTCAGCAATAGGAACAAAGAGTCTACATGTTCTCTGTCTAGGCTTACCCTTGTTCATCAGTTGTATCAAATGGTTGGACTCTACTTGGGATTGCACTTCTACTAATTAATTTAATCTCTCAATTCCCTGATTGTTCAGATATTTGGGTTTGTTGATACGCAGAAGATTGGCAAAATAACATTCAAACAGGTATCGGCATCCACCCTCTTTTAATCATCCATTTAGAAACTTTTTGTTAATTTACATGTTCATATACTGTAAAAGGATGGGTGAGCCTGTATGCGTGTCAGTATTGTATTATTGTTAGACACCTAAGTTCTTGAGTTTGAAATCTTTTAGAGATGCCAAAATACCCTGAATAAAGTGAATTAATAAAAATGGAAAATGAAAAGAAGCATACTATTGTGGGCCTGCGGCCTAATTTCTTGCTCGATGAAATTAAGTTCAAGTTAATCAATTGTCAAAAATCAAATTAAAAACAATTTTCTGAACAATATCTGTTTGAACATGTGAATTGTGGTTTTGCATTCGGCTTTTCATTCATATGAATTGCCGAATGCTGACTCTCTCTTGCTTGCACTGCATTTTCATTTTAATATAGAATTTTCACCAAGCTCCATAGGTAGATGTTTTGGATATCTTTTTATAGTAACCAGTTGAAGTATGATAAGATAATCCCAATAAGTTACATATTCTGCCAGTAATCCCTACCTCATAGTGAAAATAAGTTATTGTTTAAATTACAAATCACAAGAAATAGTAACTTATCCAAACTTGAAACATCTTTGGGAACAGAAATTTACTTGCAAGTAACTTTGTCTTAAAATTCAGCTTAGCCGAACTTGCTCTTCTTTTTATCCAACACAAGTGTATATTTTTGCTTAAATGTGGTGGATTTATCCCTTGGGCTCCCTGGTCAGATCAAACTCAGTTCTTGGAGGGTGCTATTTGTGTTCATAATTTAACTAAATGAAACCTTTCTTATGAATAAAAATGTATGCATGTCAGTTCCTGCTTGGATCGGCCCATATCTTGAAGCACCCATTATTTCAGCATGCATGTGAACTAGCATTTAGTATATGCGACAGTGATGAGAAGAATTACATTTTGAAGCAAGAGGTATTTCTTCATTTTCCCCGCTATATGTCTAGAGGTGTCAAACGGGCTGGGAGAGGTCTAGGCTTTTTCCTGTCTGGGCAGCCCAACTTTATTGACTTCTCTACCTATGCCCCTGGTAGCCAATTAGCCTTCTCATGACCTCTCTTGCTTTTGTAACAGTTACAAGATTCAATTACAATGGCAATTCCATACTTGAACGACGAAGAGGTACATACTCTAGAAATATTATCAAAGAAATCCAAGATCCTAACTAAATGATTTTATATTCTGATGTTGCCTTTTAATGATGATTACCTGTGCATATTGTCTAACTGCGAATGCGCGCTTCTCTTTCCAATTCTTTAACATAGATTCATTATCTCCTTTCCCAAATTTTTTGAGTTGAAACTAAGTCGGACTTCTAGTAAAAATTTGAGGCCTATAATTAACATTGACAAATGTTGGACATGAATTAAAATGTGTGAAAGGTCAATTTAAAGATTTTTAGTTGCCAACATTTTTGTTTAAGGTGCCAAGTGGCATTCTTGGTGATTGGTAGTTCTTTCTTTTTCTTTTTACGTTTTCAATTTTCTCCCACCATTTTATAGAAGATTGTTACATTTGAGCTTTGCAGATTCAGGGCCTCTTTAGTTTTTTTGATATGGATGAAGATGGAAGGATCAGCAAAGATGATTTTCTCACCTGCTTACGAAAATATCCATTGCTCATAGCAGTATTTTCTCCTAGACTGTTGCATCGAGGATTGTCCATAGCTGAAGAAATGGTGGTCGAGGAGGTGGCATAGCGTTTCGATTTTTTTGTTGTTTTTCCTAGTGAATGAATTATATAGTTCAAAGAGGGTAGTCCGCATGCAGAAACTCGATATCTATCCTTAAAACGATTGTTATTATTTTGTCACGATGCTTTTTTTCTGAAACTGTTTTTGATTCCTTCATGTACTATGGTTTGCTTAGTGCTTAATCGAATTGCTGTCATTTTGATTCTTGTATCAATTGGTGGCATGTTGCAGGTGTATCCTTCCTTTTCTCTTTGTTTTGGGGGGTGGGGGTGTAAAAGACAGTTAGCTCAACTTATAGTGAATTTCGTGTTAGTCTTTGAATTTTATTTTGTTTCAAAATGGTCCAATAAATTTTCTTTTTGTTTCAATTTTATCATTCAGTTGAAACCCATTAGTTTTCTAATGGAATGTTTTGATTTGGAAGATCTTCATGTTGATGCCACGTCAACTTACTGTCATCCAAATCGAACATTTCGTTAGAAAAACTAAAATCATAATTGAATGAGTAAAATTGAAACAAAAAAATAAAATAAAATTGGGTGGTCACTTTGGAGCAAAAGTAAGTGGCTAAGCGCAATGAGTAACATGACATGATACTTAGCTAAAAACTTTTTAGCGTGATGCTATGTTTTTAACACTTTTGTAGGAAATAAGTGAATGCATAGAGTCAATCAAAGAAAAGAGTTGATTAATATAGGAAAAGGTAAGGTAAATTGTACAATGTGTCCCCAATCATTTGCAAGTGTTGAACCAATGTCTTCTACCTACCATTTGTTGTACATCTTTAATTTTTTGAAACATTGATACTCATGACTTTGCTTACGTAGAACATTTATTTAAATATTAAATGCACATGTGACACTAAGAACTGTCTTCTTGATTGGATCCTCTTTTAGTGCAGGAATGAAAGTGTCAGTCTTTCAAATACTATGTCCACATGCATTAAAGTAATAAAAATTCAACAATTAAATAGTAGAAAACATAAATGTGAATGTCCCTTGTGGATGAAAGTGTTTCAGTCTTTCAAATACATTGTCTACATGCATGAAATTGATAAAGAAGTCAACAATTCAATGGTAGAAAACATAAACGTGAATGTTACTCGTCCATATGTTCAAATAAACGTTTTTCATTAGTTGGGGGTATAGGTGCTATAGTTTTAAAAATTAAGAACATGTAGCAGTAAATAGTGCAAGTGTTATGCCCTATATCTAATCAACTTTGAATATAAACACTTTTAATATATATAATCGATGCATATTTATGGCAAGATCTATTATTTAATTGAATTAATATTCTATTAAATTAAATAATAGAATTCGTAGAATCAAATTTTGGTGATTTGTTAATCACAAGAAGTTGTAATTGTGAGATAGAAATTACATATGACTGAATCTTAAATCGTTCGTGATCATATGTAATAACAAGATATGAATATCGTTATTACGGATAGACCATCATGTGTGACATTTCTTACTTGTAAAGTAAGTAACTGATCTCACAAGTTAAAATGTGATGACACTTGAATGAACACATGTATATTTTTTTTATAGAACAAAACATTGGAGACCCGTTGGGAAATTTCACATGGATAACTATCTGAGTATTGCGGTTAATATCTAACGTTCGTTAGTTGAATTGATCATTTGACTTGAGATCATTATAGTGTCTTATATGAGGACAGTCATACTTTGATGATGTTGATGTTACTCTGCCAATTGTCGCTAATATGATATCGCTCGAGTATGTCATGAATTATATAAAAGTTGTGAATGATCAATAGAGGATTCGTCATTTTTAGATAGTAATAGATTATGATCTACATTTCATTCAATTAAGTTGATAATGAAATCCTTGGTTAATGTGTACTCATAAGTCGGAAATGAGTTACTTATATTGATTTAATAGTGGGATGAAAAATATAATCGATAATTGAGATTGACACATATCCATATCTCGTAATTGATTGATCGTACTGACAGTAAACGAACTAGTTTGATTTTGTCATACCACGTGACATTTCTCATCACATGTATTGCCGACACATTTTTAGATGTCAATTTGAGAAGACGAATGTGAATTGATAATAAATTAAAGGGGGTATTTTAATTTATCGATTTTGATTAGATCAAAATAATAATTCACGTCATTAGGTATCGTAATCGGGAATTTGATGAGTCACACATAAAATGAGGACCAGAAGAATGAGATTCAGCAATTAATTAATTAACAAATATTTGATAATTAATTAATTAAGTTGCTTGTTAACAGACCCAAATTAATTAATTAGATTAATTAAATATTGGATCAAGTTAAATTTAAGAGACGGGCCAGCCCATTTAGACTAATAAGTCATTAGAGTTTCAAAAAAATTGAACATAATATAATTTATATTTTTGCTAGCACAAAAAAAGAAATTCAAATTCTCTCATTCTTATTCCCTGTGTAGATTTCCATTATAGACTGAACAATTGGACATATGTAGATTACAGATCGTGATTGTTCGTGTTCCAAGATCAGCAAAGGAGTTTGCAGAATTTATCAAAAGTATAATTTCTATCACAGTTTTATCTAAACACAAAGTAGATTCGTGGTGAGAATTTAAAAATAATTTATTTTCTGTTGTGCATATTAAGTAAATTCCCAACAAATAGTAGGTTGGAGACATGAGCGCTAAACTTACAAAAGGTTGCCGACCACTACCGACATTTATCCGTGAAAAAATTCTAATTCAATTATTGCGTCCTAACTTTTTTTTTTCAAAAAACTAATAATTTTAAGGTCGAAGATAAATGTTTTTTCAAAGGTGTTGAATAGATTTATCGGTGTGAAAACATGCACGCTTAGTTTGTATGATTGCCCTCAAATCTAGCATATATAAATGACTTCGAAAAAAAAGTTATTATTTCTTGTCAAAATGATATGACTTCTCAACTAAAATAGTACGAAATTGTATTTTCAATGGGCCATTAATTTAGAGGTTTTGTTTTTATTTACCTGATATCCATCTTGTTCTTGTATGTTATCATGATTATTAAGGTGTACGGAAGTTGGAATGTATTTCCATATTAGTCCCCGTTTGGCCCCCATTATTTCGCATTAAATTATAATTTATTTTTTTCTCTCTTCTTATCAATTACATATTTTCAATAAAATATTATTACACAAAGACCCAAAAAATTTTCCTTCTTTTTTAACCATACATTCCCCAAAAAATTATGATTCCCCTCATTATAATTTGAAATAATTTGTATATTACCTTCACGTTTTTCATGAACGTATAATATTTCAAATATTTTCTTTCAAAATCTATTTTTAAGCTAGGAGAGAATTTAGATTCATAAACTTTTTCAGAATTTGAGATATCTTATTGGGAATTTGAGTCGAATTAAAGAAAAAAAAGGACGAAAATCAAGGGCAAATAAAAGTTGTCATAATTGAGGGACTAGGTTATAAAATAATATGCATATTATTGATCCATGGAAAGTTATTCAAACCAGAAGGAAGTGAATGGAAATCTTCAAAATTTGTTCGATCAAGTGGTTGATGATCCTTCGAGTCAGACGAAATCTCATTTAGAAAGTGAGACTATTGGCGTCGATTAAGCATATTGCCGCCTATAATTTTGATCACATTTTCATTCACCTAAGTATCCCTGCATGCTGGAACACATCGTTAAAATACAAAGGTCACCATTGCAGAAAAATGCTCGATGACCACTTGCACTCCGACGATCAAATTAACGGCTGAAACATAATAGAACAAGTGAAAAAGAAACGGGGTATTGTTTTATGTAAGAAAGAAAGAAATAAATCAATTATTGGTATTATTTCAATTTATTCTTATAAAAAGCTATAAAAATTCGTTATGTAGAAAAATTTAATATAACATAGCATGAAACTAGAAGGAAAATTTCACACATTATATATAAATTTTTATATGTTTCTTAAGTCAGTGCTCCAATGACATTAAACTATCGGTTCAATCAGTGATAAAAAAAAATTTATAGAATATTTTTCATCAATACAATATTTATATTTAACGATCTAAAATTTCAAGTAAATTAATGATGTTCTTGCAAGTAATGATGATACATAAAAAAAAAAAAAAGAAGCAGAATTCACTTATCAGATCATACCATAATTGCTTATTTTAGTTGTTGCTATATATACAAGGAAACCGAACCATATTAGGGTTTGATAAAGTTCAATAATCCACGCCAAGAATGAATAAGCAAATATGAAAAGCCGACTTCTCCTTGTATAAAAGAATAATGTTATATACATAAAAGTCCCACTTTTTTTTTGTTTGATCCTCCACCCACCACATTTAATAATAATAATTTAAAACCCACTTATAATTTTTGGTAAGTAAAGAGAAAAGAGTAGCACATAAGGGTGGTCCTCTATCCATGTACAATTTTATTTTATTGCACAATCAATCTCTAGTAATCAAAATTGTCCAAATTTTCGATACATTATCGCTTGAGCCGTGACATTCATAAAATCATGCGATACTTCAGATATTTTGGTTACTCACGATGATTTAATGAAAAATTGGATAAATATACCAACTTACTATTAGAATATACGTTTGGACTCGTAACCAACTTCTTAAAGGTGGAAAACCAGCACTGTAATTTTTTTCACTAGGCAACTAGTAATAACTGAATTTACGATTATTTGTGATTCGCACTCTTTATGTGTGTGTATGTACATGCTTTTGTGAGATCGATCACCCATCCAACCGCATCTAAAATAATTATAATAATAGAAAATTCACTTAATTTATTTGTAATTAAAAGTGAAAAAGTGGTCCCAAACCCATGTATAATTGCATACACTCTCTTAAAATTTGAACCCAAACTCCAAAAGCCAAGAGATTTGGAAATAACCTAAGCCATTTGTCCTCAAAGGCATTTGCCGACAAGTGTCGGTATTACAACTTTTCAGTTAGGGCATCGAAATCCTGTACATTTTTTTTTTTTTTTTAAATATAATATAATTTTTTTCTATTTGTTTTTTTCGCGAGAATCAATTCACAACCCACTTATTTTTCTGCCACGTGACCACTTTGAACCAATTGGATGTGGTTAACACTTGCTTTGTTTCTTGGTATCAATCAAGAACTTCTTGGAGCCCTAATTTTGGGTATAAATTAGATGGATTCTTGGAGCCCCATTTTGTGAATAAATTAGATGGATGAGAATATAAATTTTTAGTGGTACTTGGTAAGTGTTTACCACGCGAGTTTATATAGTGCGTAATCGATGTTAACTTTATATTTTTAATTACGCGTCTGTTTGATCTCTTAGATAGCAACTTTATATCGTTAGTTATTAATGTGGACCATCATGCTGTGATTATTGGATTCCACGCGCAATCAAATTTTTAATATTTAGTCATGTATATCTGGATACGTCATTTCTCTTTATAGAAATGAGAGTCGAAACACAACAGCTAATTAAAAGTTTATTTAAGTGGTGGAGCTTTGGAAAATTGATTTAGGATTGCGTTCAACCAAGAAATAGTTGAACTAAAAATTTAGATTAAAATTTAAGTCAAAGTCAATAATTAATTTTAATCACCCAATTCATGGGATCCGCAGTTTTTCAACCATACATTCTATCAACTTTTATAAAGAATAACTAAGAATCTGATTTTTATCAAAACCAAATAGAAACGAGGCGAATTTCCATATTCTAGTCAAGCTCATTGTTTATAATCTTTATCATGAAGTCAGCCGACGACAATAATAAAATATAGAAACAGTTTTTAGTAAAATACTAAAGATGTTTTGTCAATACAATTCACAAAAAAATATAAAATATTTATAAAACGAAATTACAAAATTTATTCATACAACGGTATATGATTTGGTTGTCTAATCTTGGGGCTCTTGTATTCTTTTACCTTCATTTATAAATCCATGTGCACCCACTCCAATGGAGTAACGTTTTGATACTTGTTGCCTCTCCAGGACCATTGACGGTGGTGTAAATGACTTAAACCTGCAAATAACGACGAGACTTTTCTCTAATGTGACCTATCAGGTGTGAGTAGTAGTAGGAGAAGAAGCTTTAGAATATTTTGTATGTAAATGTATGAAAATGAGAAGTCATTCGTTCGGTCGATCGATTGATAGCTGCTCTAGCAAATCAACGTCATAAGTCCATCTACTTTTCAGTGTTTTTTTTTTTCGATTAGTCAAATGTTGGGAACAATATATCAAGATGTCATCTTGCTTCTAAGTGGTGATAATAAATGCTAGTGTCATTATTATTTCTCTTATTTCCTTTTTATTTTTATATATGTGGCCATTGAAAAGTTGCCACTTGGCGGTACGACATTGGACTTCTTCAGGAAAACTTCCACCCATT